AAAAAAAAATCTTGGCTTTAATCATATATCACTGGCAATAATTTACGACTAATGTTTTACTCCCTCATGTTCATAACATGTATCGTTTTGAGAAATTCCACAATAATTGAGAATATTGTTTTGCCAATAATAACCCTATTTAGTGAAAATTAATAGAAAATTAAGAATAGATATAAAAAAGGCGTGGTATATTTATTACATAGGTAATGATGGAAAAATCTGTTCAAAATATCCAAAACGTCATTTATTTGGTTAATGGTTGAGAAAGACAAAATGATATTAAAAAGAATAGAAGATAGTAGAATTTTTTTGTTCGAATGTATGAATCACATAATGTTTCTAAGTTTAATGTATTTATTTACTACTAGAGTTTAAAATAATTTGTATGTTTGTTTTTTTATTCATTCTCATTAATAATGCTTAGAAATTGTTATTTGGATCCACCTCATATATATGGCTCAAATAATTTCTATAAAAAAAATAGTTCATATTTCCACACCAAAACCCAAACATATTGCATATCAGAGTTAAATGGGTATAAGAACCTTAGACATGTTCTTGAAGCAATCAAGCATAATGAGGAAAAAAATAAAAAAAGGAAAAATAAAAGAAGAAATAAATGTTCTTACACTGCTTTGAAGACGGAATAAGTTTTATTAGCTGCCACATAATATGTTAATTTGTCCACACCGTAAAGTGCAAAACAAATTATAAAAAAATTATGTAAAAGACAGACGAAGATAATTGATAAAGTGTAAAATAGTTATGTGATAAGTTATGCGACAGATATGCAAAAATAATTGATAAAGTGTGAAAATTTTATGCGATAATCTATGCGACAAATAGACGAATATAATAATGCGAAACAATTATTCAATAAAACTATGCGACAAACCGAAGATAATTGATAAAGCACGAAATAGTTATGTGATAATATGTACGACAAACAGACGAGCATAACTGATAAAGTGTGAAACAATTATGCGATAAACTATCCGACAGACAGAAGAAGATAATTGATGCAAAAATATATGCGACATATAGACGAAGATAATTGTTAAGAGCAAAAATGTTATGCGAAAAACATACGAAGTGATATAGGATATTATCTGTATAAAGACGAACCGATTTGGTGAGCCGGTCGAGAAGAGCAGACCGGGAGCAAACCAAGCCGAAAGGCGGGAATCCAAGTGATCGAGCAGCCCAAGGCTCGACCACACCAGCGATCGAACAACCCAAAGCTCGAATGCACTGGCGTTTGAGTAGCCTGACGC